AATCATCTTATGCTGTTAAGGTAGGTTTTCATACTTGGTTAAACTGATTATTTGCTTATCATTAAAAAATGATGTGTTAAAAATTTACACAAAATATGTGTTAAAGAGGTCGTAACACATTTTGTGTTACTACAGACACATTGTGTGTTAATATTGTGCTTAACTGTTTACACAATGACTGTGTTAAACACAGTTAAACATATGTTGGAATACAATGCATTTTTTGCCTGTAGTCAAATGGCACTGTGTTATGAGTTTATGTAGTTTATTTATCATGATGGTAATATAAAATAAGCATTTGTGAGTATGTGGCTGAAAATTCTGTATTACGGGATTAATGCTGTGAGTTTCTGCACGCGCATGCGCAGTGACGTTCTTTTTCAACTGTCGCTCTCCCAGAGCTCTGTCGGATAATGCACCTCTCAGCCTCAGGTGAGTGAAATTCATTAAAATTCGTCTACGATAGTAAATATTTCTTCCACTCTGCGCGAGAATGTTTTGTGTTAGTTGTCCAAGAAGTTATTTTTGTTACTTTTATTATGACTTCATGCTTCGTACTCCTAAAACACGGGTGACTTGGCAACTCGGTCATGTAACGTTAACATTAACTTTAGCCGCGCAAGCTAACGCATCTAGCGTGTCTTTTGTAAAGCTGCGTTGGCACTTGGCAGATATATTAATAATAATAAGTTACATATAAGTCGGAAGACGTACCCTAAATATGTACTGCATTTTGGTATAAGAGTTGCAGTCACTTTAAAAAGCCTCCGCGTCTCTGACACTCGAGGTAACGCTACACAATTTATACATTTACGTTATTAACATGTTATTTGATATATTACCTAAGACGACGCTCTGCGGCAGAAATTTAAACAAGAATCCCTTGTCATAACATAAGTTGGGTGCTTTGTACAAACACCAAATGGCGCCGCAGTGTGAGCAAATTCATAAACAATAGCTAAAATAAGAAGATCTTTAATGTAACGTTAATCGACTTTACACGCCATTTTGTGCTAACGTTATCTGACTAGTTGCATACTATTTAAATGTACTTTTTATTGTCATACACAGTTACAGGTGTTTGTTTTCTCATTGTGCTGTGTATATATGAATTTCTCTCTTAGAAGATGGAAGTCAAGGAACAAATTGCAGTCACTCTTAACACTTCTACACCGCGCTCTTGATTTTGTCTTCATAGACGGAAAGGAAATATGGAGAAAACTATTCACAGATGGCAATGTTGGAGATCTGATAGCCTCAGTCAAACTGGAACGGTTTCAACAACCATCTTTTGATCGAATATGGAAATTTGACAGATTTTCAAGTTCATTGACACTGATGTAAATGCAGGAGTACAGGAGCTTGACAAATTTCAAACATATTATATTGCAAGCAACACCCCAGACTCATTAGAAAGAAGTGTGCACTCATTACAGGAAAAACATTAATATATTTCTCCCTTTATATTAATATAGATAAAATTAAACATTTAAATAAATTAAATGTTTTGGCATTTCTTAGTGTCCTTTAACAGATTCAACTCAGACTGGCAACACAACTAGTTTGCTGATGCTGCTTGAAGAAAAGCCTCTTCAATCCTGAGAGAACATGAAGAGACTGTCAGAAAGTTGCTGTCAGTGTCCTTGTAGAGAAACATGGATTGTGAGTATGTGGTTTGTTTATTCCATGTGAGGTGTATTTATTTGCAAATTAATTAAATTAGATTTATTTAAATAAGTTATATACTAATAGAAATTCTACATTTAAAAATATTTTTTTAATAAAAATTAATTTATTAATTTATATAATTAATTTTATCAATTCTAAAGTACCACTGTTTAGTCAATTTTTTATGTTTGTCAATGTTTGTGTATAAGCAATTCATGCAACTGTATTTTTTTCTTTTATTTATTTTCTTTTTACTTTTTTAGCAAAAGAGAGTCTGTCATTGTTCCCCTCGTTAAGGATTCAGGTGCCCTTTGGTGAAAATGAGGGACATGTAAGAATGTTTTTGCATTATAAACTTAATTTATTAGGAATGTGTATATAAGTTGCTCATGTGTACTTGACTTTAATTTGTTCTGTTTTTACATTACTAATGTCAGGAGCATTTTTTGATGGGCCATCGCACAGTGGATTTATTGAAATGAGATTACGTAACATCAGACTGAAGCTTCAACAGAGCCAGTGGGTGTACAGTTTGAAACATCATCATTGTACACCGCAACCTTCTTTACCAAGTCCAGATTAAACTGTACCAAGTGAGCGGTTGTCTCTGATAAAGGGGATGCAACCATCACCAGTGAATTTATCATCAATAAAGACTGCAATCAATCAAACCTTCAGTTACCGAAGAAGATGGATAACAACAAAATCCCCAACTGTTGCTGAAATCTTCAAGGAATATCCCAGATTTCTTGACTTGCCATCTTTGGTAATAGACATGCTCAACTAAGTCAGAACTTTACACAGACATTTATTTCATAATTGTAATATTATTATTTCGTTGTTTCTGATTTGTTTCTTTCTTTAAAGATGGACATTGAAATTTCCAAGCTCACAGATGGGAAAGAAGACTTGATTATCCGGAAAAGGGAAGGGACGATAATTCCAGGATAATTCAAGGAAATAGCATCTTGGAGAAGAAAATTGACATCAGATACTGCTGACAATCAGCATGATGGTATGAGTTTGAAAATGCCTGGTGCATGTGCACACTTTTCTAAACATAGTTTAAAAGATAAAACTTAATGTGAATATTAATATTCTATTCAAGATAAAGTATTAATTTCTAATATATTTTGTTTACATTCTTCTTTTGCATGTGACCTGTATCTTGACTTCAAGATGAGCTGTTAAACTATGTTGAAGATTCTTATTCATCTTATTCCACTCACTGCATCTGGGAGAAGTGTTGCTGGGAGTAAATGCTGCGTGACTTCTGCTGTGTCCTGCCTGTTGGAGCAAGGGCCAGTATAGTTTTTATTGGTTTAGCTTATGATAAATAAAATGTTTCTAATGCAACAACATTTTCTAATGCTTTTCATTGTTACATTCCTGAAGGCTGGTACCACCATTACATCTTTTGCTCACTAAATCCATGAAAGAGACCCTGAAGTCAGCTCAGCCGCAGTTGGTTTCCATCGGTTCTCTTGGACATGGATCCCAGTACATAATTGTGGCAAAGAATGACTCTTTTGCTCTTCTGATGCTAAAAGCCTGACCTGTGCTGTAGACAGACTTTTCAAATACTTTTGGCTGTGCAATCTTCAGTATCCATGCTAAATGTCTTCGTTTTTTTCTTTTTTTGAGTATATATATGACCTGTCCTTGTCCCAGTCATCTTGCAAACGATCAAAGGTCATGGAATTGATTGCTAAGGTGCAGTCTTGTACCTAATCGAAATAAGCATGTACACCTGTCCAAAGCGTCTGCAAAGTGAAGTTTCATAAACTAATTTTGAGAGGAGCATGTGATATGATTGTGCACCGCTGGCCACTCATCCGTAATCAGTAATAATCCAATCAGAGTGATCCTAGCTTAATATAAATGGATCACTTTCTCCTTATTGATCTTTGTTTTGGAAGAATCCCCCCTTCCACCCCATCTCCTCCTTTTTCTCCCCTTCTAAAGGGGGAGCGATCGAGACCTACCTGATCTCGGTTCTCCTGATATGCTTCTAGACCGGGCGGGAGCCCTGGGCTCAAATATCTCCGAGCTCAGGGTTCTCTCCCGGGACAGCATGCCAAACCTGCTATAAGTGCCAAGCATATCTAAGTGGGAACTCTTGAAATGATTTTGTTGAAACAAAGGGGTTAATTTGGCATTTAAGGGAAGTGCATGCACTCTCTGATAGTCACAACCTAACTTTAATTTGTAGTCAAAATCGTTGCCCCAGAACATATATTTTTAATTCCTTTTTAAAACATCTAAACAGAGATAATTTTAACATTAATTCATGCCTTTATGAAGAGTCAGGACACACAGGGAACTTAAATGTATCCAATCAATCTGATGAAAGCATAATAAGTATTTCTGAGTATAATGTCCAAACGTTTCTTAGAGTTTTAAAAGTTAAGTATCTTGATAAACATCCTTTTTCCTTCAGTGTCATCAGAACAAATCATTTTTGCTTTGCTGCCTGGGGACTTAATTCATTTTGTGATCAGCAGTATGTAACTCCTAAATAAAAAATATATATATATATTGTTTTAATCATGTTAGTGACTGAATATTTGGTAAAACTTTATAATAACTACACACTATAAATCATTTATTAAGCATTAGCAAATGGTGAACTCATTTATTTGTTAAGCATTAACTCAACGTTATAAAACATTAAGCGGTTCATAAAAATAACTACAAATGCTGTATTCTTGACTTATAAGTAATTTTTTTAATGTGCTTAATAATTGTACTTTCACACTTTGCTTCTGATTATTTTTTCACTACTAAATTAAGGACTGCATTATTTACAAACCGTTTGTATTTGAAAGTATGAATTATGAAAGTACAATCATTAGGCACATTATAAATGTGCTTATAAGTCAAGAAAACAGCCTTTGTAGCTGTATTTATAAACCAATTACTAATGACTTATAATGTAGAGTTAATGCTTAACAAATAGTGAATTAACTACTGTACTTGCTAATGCTTAATAAATAATTTATATTGTGTCGTTACTATAAAGGCTTACCTAAATGTTTGAAGTGTTTTTAGTAGATTTGACAATGATTTATTTTGTTAAAACAAGTACCTTACATATAGGTGAATTTATAAACAGTGTGCCATGGTTATTTATTTTTTTCACTAGAGAATAATTTTGAAAATGTATATGTTGGAAACTGTTTCATACATATTTGACATTTTATTGGCATGTGTAACAGATACGAGTTCAATTTAATGAATACTTTTATAAAGTGAGTTTTTATATTATGTACAGTGAATTGCTGTAAAACATTTAAATACATTAATTCCATGTTAAAAAGGAAAAACAAACAGTATGTGAACAGTGTTTAATGTTTCCTGTGAGATTTTGTGATTTTACATTTAAAGTATTTTTTTTACATTTAAAATGACAAAAAACTGAATAGTAACACACAGTTGTGTTAGACACATATAAAAATAACACATCTGTGTGTCTACTTATGCTGCACATTAATGTGTTACATTTTATGACACATTTTGTGTGTTAAACTTAACTCAACATGTGTTGTCCCTGAGCACACTGTGACGTGTTTTCAACACATTCATTTTTAGAGTGCAAAAAAAAATGACAATAAACCAAGCAAACTAAATTAGATATAACTTCCCTATAAGAGATAATAAAATAAAATAAAGAAAACTTACCTCCCTACTAACAAACACAGGAGAAAACGAAAACAACAAAACAGAAGGCACCAAACCTTTCTACCATGCTCCAGGCCAGACAGGAAGACAGAAAACCGGGTTTCTCCAGTTAGAATTGACAACATCACATCGGCATCTTACAAAATGCCACAAAAGAGATATAAGCAAGAAACACTCATTTGATCACATAACAATCTCCACTGAGCATACAAGGGAAATCGAGAGAGCCATCAAATTCATGCTCTCAGCAGGTTTAAATACAGCCGCCGCCTATCCAAGCACCAATCATGATCCGACCCAAAGTAATCCGCTGCTCCTGCGAATACTTAGAAATAAAAGAGAGCGAGAGAAAGAGAGAGAGGGAAAGAAACACAGCACACAAGCCTACACTACACTACAACTCGTAACAGTACCCATTAACATGTGATAATTATCATGCAGTAGGAAGTTGATCACAACAAGGTAGGCTATTGTTCTCTGATCGAGTCGATTATCTAGTTTCAGCCATTCATAATCAAAATTCCTTGTTTGTTTGTGCACACTTGGCACATATAGCTTATTTACTCATCGTTTTGTGTGATTTAGATTGTATCATAAAAACCTGCTAGTTGGTTTTTCGTTTTCTCAAGTTCATTTGTGATTTTCTGAAACTGCTGGATCATTTTTCTCATTTCAATAATGAATTTCCCAGCTTTTGACATAATCTCATCTTCATCACTTTCATCTATTTCTTCGTGTATTTTTTTTTCTGCTAGTTTAACCATATCCGTGACCCCTCTTGTATTTTCAGGAACTGAGATCATGTCAAGCCAAAGGCTGGGTCCACCATAAAGTACAGCCAGATTTGAAATCAAGCGTGTATTTTCAGACATCTGTGCAGTCAACTTGTCATAGTCTTCGATTTGTATGTTGTATTTTTGACAGACATAGGTAAAATATTCACTGACATGACTGTGATGTTGCTGAAATTTTTTAAGGATTTTTGATATAAACTCAGTTTGTTCTTGAAGATCTTCCATCTTTTCACGCAAGGGGTTGATTGTATTATAAAAATGATCTAATTGTGTCTTAATACCTTCTTTTAATTGTGTCACCTGGATCTGTTTTTCAGACGTGAACTTCTGACTTTTAACTCCAGCAGCTGCGAGTATTGATCCTCCTGCAGCAAGAGACAGTACCAGAGTAAATGGAGCAGATGCTGCTGCTATACCTGCAGCCAAGACTGTCCCTCCAACTATTCCTGCTATTCCCGCATCTCTGGAGCCTTCAGTAGAGTTTCTGTATTTTCTTTCAAATATTTGGAGAATCTCACACAGTTTCTCTGTGCACTGCTGGAGCTGAGGATGATTTCTCTCATAATTTGTAATAAAGTTATCTCTGAGAGGAATAACTTCAGTTCTAGAAAAAATAAAAGGATGAAATAAGTGTTTGTAATTATACATCATAAAAGTTGGATTACAAATATTACAACCAAAATTGACTACATGCAGATGACATTTTTAGAGGTCAATCAGCTGATTGCGTCGAGTTGTTTAATCAGGGTCATGTTTAATCAATCTGCATTGTGCTGGAATTTATGCCACAGAATTAACAGACCTATAACAAAGCATTAAAGATTTTAGCTCAATAAACGTTCGAGGTTACAGAAGTAACCCTTCGTTCCCCGAGGTGGGGAACGGAAGTGCCATAAGTGGATGAAATCCATGATGGGAGGATTCGGATCAGAAGCCGCTTGTCTGGAGAGTATTGAACGGGCCAATGAATGAAATTAATTGGCAGCGTAAACTTGCGCAGGTGTGCGGCATAAGCAATTATCCCAGCATATAAGCGCACCTGAAGCCAGCAGACGCTATCCTTTTAAGCTGAAGAGACTTTCAAACAGCTAAGGGACAGTCATTATGGCGACGGAGTATGGCACTTCCGTTCCCCTCCTCAGGGAATGAAGGGTTACTTCTGTAACCTCGAACGTTCCCCTTCGGTTGGGGAACTTCAGTGCCATAAAGTGGATGAAATCCACGATGGGAGAAGTATGGAAAGCGCCATAATGACTGCACCTTACCAACGCCCCCGATGAGGAGATAGTCAAGCAAGCGTGACGCACCCACATCATGGGAGGCGCGGACCTCCAACGTGTCCCTGGCCCTAATTTATCCTACTTCAACTGAAGTTTTACGGATTTAGATATATTTTTTGGGAAGTCGTGAGCATCTAGATAATTCTAGGAAATACGACAGTACGTTGGGAAGCGTGCAATCCCGATAGGGAGGACGCTGCGGAGGCCATCCGTTACCCAAGGAGGGGATAGATGGCAGAATTACATATGGACTAGCCCTAAAAAGGGGGAGTACTCATAGCAAAAGAGTGGTTAGCGGAGAGGGAAGACACGGGTCCGCCCAGGGGGCTGACCAGCGGGCAGACCTACAACGCAGTGGGCCAGCAAGTGACTCCTCCACTGAGTCAGTGCTGGGGGCCACGGAGGAATCTGCAGGGCTCACCTGACGGGGAACTTTACTGACAGATAAAAAGGCGCACGTACCTCCGTGTTAGGGAGAATGGCGCAGCAAGCGTGTTTCAACACCCTACCGAGTTGTCTCCTCAATCACCAAAGGGTTACCTAATACCCTTGAGGAAACCGGCTCCACTCGCAGATTGTAAAACCTTGCAAATGTGTTGGGTGTCGCCCAGCCCGCAGCTCTACAGATGTCTGTTAGAGAGGCGCCGCGTGCACGCGCCCAAGAGGATGCAACGCTCCGAGTGGAGTGTGCACGAACTCCCGGGGGACACGGCTGACCTCGACTCGAATAAGCCAGTGAAATGGCATCCACAATCCAGTGGGATAATCTTTGTTTTGATACGGCACTTCCCTGCTGCCGACCGCCATAACAGACAAAGAGCTGCTCAGATGATCTAAAATTCTGAGTACGGTCCACATAAATGCGCAGAGCGCGAACTGGACAAAGTAAAGAAAGGGCTGGGTCTGCCTCCTCCGGGGGCAGCGCTTGCAGGTTCACTACCTGATCTCTAAAGGGGGTGGTAGGAACCTTGGGAACATAACCGGGGCGGGGTCTCAGGATGACGTGAGAGAAATCCGGCCCGAATTCCAGGCACGAGTCACTGACCGAAAATGCCTCCAGGTCCCCGACCCTCTTGATGGAGGCCAACGCAACCAGCAGAGCTGTCTTCAGGGACAGAAATCTTAGAGATACTGATTCGAGTGGCTCAAAGGTATCGGATCGCAGACTCGTGAGAACGAGGGCGAGATCCCAAGAGGGCATGAGAGGGGGGCGAGATGGATTAATTCGCCTAGCACCCCTAAGGAACTGGATGACCAGGTTATGCTTTCCCACGGTGCCGCCAGCTACCGCGCTATGATAAGCGGAGATGGCGGCCACGTAAACCTTGAGAGTGGAGGGCGACAGCCTGCTGTCCAACTTCTCTTGAAGGAAAGAGAGCACAACACTAATCTGGCAATTTCGGGGGTCTTCTCTGCGAGAGACGCACCATTCAGTGAATAGACTCCACTTCAGGGCGTAGGCGCGCCTTGTGGAGGGGGCTCTAGCCTGAGTGATGGTATTAACCACCGCAGTCGGTAGGTTACCTAAGTCTTCCTCGCGTCTAGGGACCACACGTGGAGGTTCCAAAGATCGGGGCGAGGGTGCCAGATGGTGCCCTGTCCCTGAGAGACTAGGTCCTCTCTCAAAGGGATCCGCTAGGGGAGGGCCTTCGCGAGGAGTGAGAGCTCTGAAATCCAGGTCCGGTTGGGCCAAAGGGGCGCAACTAGCAGAACCTGTTCTTCGTCCTCCCTGACCTTGCACAGAAACTGCGCGAGCAGGCTCACTGGGGGAAACGCATACTTGTGCATGCCCCGAGGCCAGCTGTGGGCCAGTGCATCCGTGCCGAGAGAGCCCTCGGTCAGGGAAAAAAACAACTGGCAGTGAGCGTTCTCGGGGGAAGCAAACAGATCGATCTGGGCCTCCCTGAATCGCGCCCATATCAGCTGAACAGACTCGGGGTGGAGTCTCCATTCTCCAGGGCGTAACAGCTGTCGTGAGAGCGCATCGGCTGCACGATTGAGCGTGCCTGGAACGTGAATGGCGCGCAGCTATTTCAGCCGCGGGTGACTCCAGAGGAGCAGACGGCGGGCGAGCTGAGACATGCGGCGAGAGCGCATACCCCCCATGCGGTTGATATACGCCGCCGCCGCCGTACTGTCCGTCCTGACCAGCACGTGTTGCCGCTCCAGCACCGGTAAAAAGCGGTGGAGAGCAAGGAACACTGCCAACAGCTCTAGGCGATTGATATGCCAATGCAGCTGGGCACCCTTCCACAGGCCCGCAGCTGCATGCCCGCGACACACGGCCCCCCAACCCGTGTTGGAAGCGTCTGTTGAAACAACAACATGGCTGGACGCCTGTCCTAGAGGCACACCGGCCTGTAGGAACGAGGGGTTGTTCCAAGGGCTGAGGGCGCGGCGACACAGCGCAGTAACCGAGACCCGGTGTGTGCCTGCGTGCCATGCGCGTCTGGGGACCCGATCGTGAAGCCAGTGCTGAAGTGGTCTCATATGGAGCAACCCGAGCGGCGTGACGGCGGCTGCGGATGCCATATGCCCCAGGAGCCTCTGAAAGAACTTCAGTGGGACCACTAGTTTGCTGTCGAGCTCCCTCAGACAGTTCAGCAACAGGCTAGCGCGTTCCTCTGCACGGGGGCTAGTTTGCTCTTTTCTCTGCTGATCTGAAGACCCAGTAGGCGGAGATGCCGAAGCACCTTGTCCCTGTGCATAATCAATTGCTCCCGCGAGTGGGCTAAAATCAGCCAGTCGTCGAGATAATTGAGTATGCGAATGCCCGCGAGCCGAAGGGGCGCTAGGGCACCCTTCGCGAGTTTGGTGAAGACCCGCGGAGACAGAGAGAGCCCGAAGGGGAGGACCTTGTACTGCCACGCTCGACCCTCGAACGCAAACTGCAGAAATTGGCGGTGGCGTGGAAGAATGGAGACATGGAAATACGCGTCCTTCAGGTCTATGGCTGCAAACCAATCCTGAGGACGAACGCATTGGAGAATGCGCTTCTGCGTGAGCATTCTGAACGGCACCCTGTGCAGACAGCGGTTCAAAACGCGCAGATCTAGGATTGGCCGTGACCCACCGCTCTTTTTGGGTACGATGAAGTATGGGCTGTAAAACCCACTCTCCATCTCGGCTGGAGGAACCGACTCGATTGCACCCTTCGCCAGGAGGGCAGCAATCTCCTCTCGCAAGACAGGGGCGGACAGGGGGTTGACCCTGGAGAAATACACGCCCGTAAACTTGGGGGGCCGTTTCGCGAACTGAATCGTGTAACCGAGTCTGATTGTGCGTATGAGCCATCGCGAGGGGCTGGCCCGCGCTAACCAGGCAGGCAGAGCCCTCGCTAATGGAGTCATCGCTACAATCGCTGACGTACCAGCGGTGGGGCAGCGCGGAGTGGGTGTGCTGAACCGGGAAGCACGAGGGTCCCGCGGAAGAGCTGGAGGAGAGCGATCCGCTCTGGCTCCGCACCCTGACTCCGGAGAGGGGGCTGGAGGGCTGAGGGAAGGGAGACCGTCCCCCCAGCGCTCGTGAGCCACTGGCGAAGCACGTAGAGTCTGCGAGCCGGAAGGCAGCGCGTCCCGGACTGGCAGAACTCGTGCAGTCACATCCGGGGAAGGGAAAAAGTGCTCTTTTACTGATGTTTTGGTGGCACTGAAAAGTACCGTTGTTATCGGGGCCCCGCCCTCCAGCGGGGAAAGAGCAAGTTTCCTCTTCTCCGGATGGCCTGTCTCAGGGACGCTTTGCGGTCTGTTTACCGGACTTAACGGCGCCCTGGGCAGGAGGGGCTGCCTGCTTTCGAGGTGTACGCCGCGCCCGCTTGGCCGGAGGCGCAGGCGGGGGCGGGGCAGCACTCGTTGGCGGGCGCCCTCGGCGAGGAACAGCGGAGGTGGATGGCTCGGCGGGCGGAGCGGGCTTACGGCCACGCCGATAGATGACATTGCCCATCGCATCCGACTGCTCTTTCACCGCCTTGAATTCCTGGGTGAATTCACCGACGGTGTCGCCGAACAGGCCAGCCTGGGATATGGGCGAGTCAAGAAAGCGAACTTTGTCAACATCGCGCATATCGGCCAGGTTTAGCCAGAGGTGGCGTTCCTGAACCACAAGTGTGGACATCGTCCTCCCCAGCGCACACGCGGCGGACTTAGTAGTCCGAAGAGCATAGTCGGTCGCGGTGCGCAGCTCATGTAAAAAGCTTGGGTTGGACCCGCCCTCGTGCAGCTCGGCCAGCGCCTGCGCTTGGTAGCGCTGGTAGGTGGCCATCGCATGCAAAGCAGAAGCAGCCTGGCCCGCAGCCTTATAAGCTCTGGCTCCGAGGGAGGCAGAGAACCTACAGGCTTTGGACGGGAGGCGGGGCAAACCCCGCCACGTAGAGGCGCCGCGCGGACAAAGATTGACCGCAATAGCGCGCTCCACTGACGGGATCGCCTCATACCCCCTGGCAGCTCCGCCGTCAAGGGCGGTGAGGGCGGAGGCACACGCAGCACGGGCAGAGAAAGGTGCCCTCCAAGACTGCGTGAGCCTACTGTGCACTTCCGGGAAGTCTAGTCGGTCCGGCCGCGGAGCTGGGGGATAAACCATCTCCAACCCCACGGCCGAAGCAGCCCGGGAAAGCACGGCTAACATGTCCGCTTCAGGATCCGATTTGACAGCGCTCACCTGCCCGGAGGGGGCGAGCGGGTCCGGATCTTCGTCGGACAGTGAAAGCCCACCCTCCGATGCCGCGGAGGACATCTGATCTCCGGTGTCAGCCAGTGTGAGAGCTACCATCTGGTTAGACGGATCACTCCCACTACCCGAAGCTTGGATGGAGCGCCGTGAGGAGCGAGAGGTCCGCGAGCCCGTGGGCGGCGGATTATCTCCCGCTGAAACCCTCAGATCTGCCCGAGCGCCCGCTGCTTTTTTAGAACAGGAGGCAACTGGGGTGGCTCGCTCTCTTGCGAAAGTTAGCCGCGATCTTAGCTGTGCAACGGTCATGGCATCGCAATGACGACATGAACCGCCCGCGAGCACCGCATTAACATGCTGGACCCCCAAACATGCAATGCAGTGATCGTGTCCATCATCCGGAGCCAGGAAACCCCCGCAACCAGAAACGCACAGTCGGAGCGCCATCCTGAAAAGGACGTGCTGCACGACTGTGTTGCTCTTTTAGGAAAGTTTGCAACAATACGCACCGCTCTGGAGGACCGGACCCAAAGAACCGCAGGCAAGGGAGAAACCCAGCTCGACCGTCTGCCGCCGCGAAAACCCTGGAGACACACTCGTTCGCTCTGAAGTGCTGATCAGCAAGAGGAACCCTCATCGACTCACTCGGAAAGGATCTGAAGCGAAAAGGATGGCGTCTGCTGGCTTCAGGTGCGCTTATATGCTGGGATAATTGCAGATGTCGCACACCTGCGCAAGCTTACGCTGCCAATTAATTTCATTCATTGGCCCGTTCAATACTCTCCAGACAAGCGGCTTCTGATCCGAATCCTCCCATCGTGGATTTCATCCGCTTATGGCACTGAAGTTCCCCAACCGAAGGGGAACTATCAATTAGCTGCTTATAAATAGTTATTGTGGTAGTAGTTGGTATAGGTATTGGGTAGGATTATGGATTTTTGTCAAAAATATAAATATTTTCATGAGACCTATACCTGCATTAAAGTGCGTATAAAACATAAACGCATAAAGATAGAATAAAATGTTTTTGTTTGAAAGCAGAAAACATTCTAGAGATGTCAAATTTAGGTGAAAATCATTAAAAATGCAGACAATGGCTAGAAACACTAGCAGGGAAATAGTTAAAGCACTGCTTATAATAATTCTGTGTTGTCATATTTAATTTAACTCAAGTGAATTTGAGTTTCATTTGTTTTTCTATTTTCTTACTGACAGTATATAAAATCTTTGAGCACTTAACTTTTTTGTATTTTTTTAATTTAATGTCAGTATTATTAACCTCCTTAAGAATATATAGTTGAAGTCAGAATTATTAGCCCCCCTGTTATTCCTTATTTTTTGTTTAACGGAGAGAAGATTTATTTAACACATTTCTAATCATAATTTTAATAAATCTATACAATAATTATAACTCTACATAATATTTTTAATAACTGATTTATTTTATCTTTGACATGATGACAGTAGATAATATTAGACTAGATATTCTTCAAGACACTTCTTTACAGCTTAAAGTGACATTTAAATGCTTCACTAGGTTAATTAGGGTAACTAGGCAGGTTAGGGTAATTAGGCAAGTTTTGTATAATGATGGTTTGTTCTGTAGACATTCGAAAAATAATACAGCTTAAAGGGGCTAATAATATTGACCTTTAAATGGTGTTAAAAAAATTAAAAACTGCTTTTATTCTAGCTAAAAAATAAATAAATAAATAAATAAGACTTTCTCCAGAAGAAAAAAATATTATCAGACATACTGTGAACATTTCCTGAATCTGTTCAACTTCATTTGGGAAATATTTAAAAAAGAAAAAAATTCAAAGGGGGCGAATAATTTTGACTTTCACTGTATATATATATATATATATATATATATATATTTTTTTTTTTCTGATTGTCTACAGAGCAAACCACTGTTAACCTAGCTAAGTTTTAACTTGCACTTTAAGTTGAATACTAGTATCTTGAATTCTATTCATAATTGTTATGGACAGAATTTCAAAGTGCAGCCTTGGGCTGGAGGGGGTCCGGTTCGGGGACCACAAGATTTCATCTCTGTTATTCGCAGGCGATGTTGTTCTGTTGGCTTCATCGAACATGGACCTTCACCATGCACTGGGGTGGTTTGCTGCAGAGTGTGGCTGGGATGAAAATCAGCACCTCCAAGTCAGAGGCCATGGTGCTCCACCGGAAAAAGGTGGTTTGCCATCTCCAGGTTGGAGGAAAGTCCTTACCCCAGGTGGAGGAGTTTAAGTATCTTGGGGCTTTTTTTACGAGTGAGGGAAGGATGGAACGTGGGATTGGTGCAGTGGCAGCAGTAATGCGGTCGATGTACTGTACCTGTCCGTTGTGGTGAAAAAGATAAGAGCCGAAAGGCAAAGCTTTCGATTTAATCTACGTTCCTACACTCACCTATGGTCATCATGAGCTTTGAGTCATGACCGAAAGGACAAGATCTCGGATACAAGCGGCCGAACTGAGTTTCCTTAGAAGGGTGGCACTCTTATAGATAGGGTGAGGAGCTCTGACACTTGGGAGTAGAGCCGCTTTTACTCCATATTGAGAGAAGTCAGCTGAGGTGGCTCAGGCATCTGTTTCGGAAGACCCAGGATGGGTTTCCCCCCGGAGGAGCTGAAGGAAGTGTCTGGGGAGAGGGAAGTTTGGGGTTCTCTCCTAAGACTGCTGCCCCCGCGACCCAACCCCGGAAAAGCGGCAGAAAAATGAATGAATGGATGACTAGTATCTTGCTAAATAACTAGTAAAATATCATATATCATATATGGCAAAGACAAAACAAATTAGTTATTAGAAAGTAATAATTAAAACTATTGCTTAAAAATGTAAAGAAAAAAGATGTCTTCTCTCTGTTAAGCAACACTTGAGAAATTATTTTTAAAAATTCAAATTTCACAGAAGGGCTAATAATTTTATCTTCAACTGTAAGTGTAAGGTATGGACATGGATCAGATATTTCTGTTTTTTAGACTTCTTTATACCTTAAATTCACTTCATTAAATAACAAAAAAAAAAAAAAAAAGAAAGAAACAGTGTGCTTCCACTTTGCCAGGGATTTAGAAACCAGTGGTACCATCATGTGCACATGCGTTCAACCAGCAAAGATCAGCACAGTTGTCTAACTAATAAGGCTGTCTAGGGCCAAGAATAGTTTGATATAATGGCACACAGTACCTGGAAATACATCTATTACATTTGTTCATAGATTCAGCATGACAATGGAAAAGTGGCTAATGCAAACTAAAAGCATCTGTTAACTTACATAGAAAAGTTGACAACAAAGAACCAATTTAAATAGCTTTGTTCAGTATACCTTAATAAAGTTGAAGTCAGAATTACCCCCCAGCCCTGAAATATTTTTTGCTTATTTTTTGTTTAACAGAGAGCAGATTTTTTTTTCTCAAATAATTTTGACTTCAACTGTATATGTATGACCTCTTTATGGATTATTTATGATAGTATACATTATATATCTCAATGCTTTATAATGTGTTCTTACATCATTTCTGGAGGTAGATCCATGCTGTTGTACCGATGAATAGAGAAAGTGAATGATGCCAGCGTTGCTGAAATAAAACAACACAATTAAATAATGTCAGCTTGTTATTTCCTTAAAGAGATAATTCACCCAAAAATGTCATCAGTCATCAAAATTCTGTCTTTATTTACTCACACATCGTTTTAAACCTTTGAGTTTCTAGTCCAACTTTTTATTAAGTGGCCTTAATTACTATGTACTTCAGAAAGTAAAAATAAATGTTATTTTACAGGTAATTTTCTGTATTTTTTTACAGAATTGCCCTTTTTATTGAAATACCTGTTGTTTTAAATATATTTTTACCTACCAAATTTCATCACATAGTCTAATACTGGCTTATTTTTCTGCTCTTCTCCAGTTTTCTTCAGCTCCTCCAGGTTCTTCACCCATTCCACTTTTCCCTCTTCTTTCTTCAGGCTGGGAATCAGGAAATCCAGATACAGAAGAGTGAAAGCGCTGTCTGCTTTTAGTGCAATGTCAGAGAGACTCATGATGCTGAAATATGCTTCATGCAGAAGATTGAGCTTTTGTTGTGTAATTTTTTCCAGATCCATTTTAAGTTGAATTTCTTTTTCTATTTTTTCTGTAGACTTTATCGTGTTTCTTTTATGTTCCTTTTTTATTTTTTCATACATTTCTTTGTCAAATCTTAATAGATTGTGGTCATCAACACCATGACAAAACTGTTTGAGCTCATTAAATGTCATTCTAAATGTCTTTGTCTTGGTCACATATTTTTTGTTCTCTCTGACATGATTTCTATAATGACACTTTCCTGAACACACAGTGCAGTGTTGTTTGTACATGACTTTACATCGTGAGGGACTTGAATCCAAGCAGGCCCATTCATGGCAGTTCTCCTCACAGACGGAGCAGCAGGTTGCCTTGCTGTTCCACCACCATTCATTTTCAATTAAGACTTTTTCTTTGAATGTTTTTTGGACTACAATCTCAGAGTTTTCACATTTCTCAATTGTGTTCTTGTGCTCTGTAATTGAATCCAAAATGACTGAAAGTTGTTCAGCTTTAAACTCCTCCTTAAAGATTCGCTCATTCAAGTCAAAAACACAGGCCTCCAGTCGTCTTCGCTCTTTCAGAACATCTAATGTCATCTGAACACTTTTTTTGTTCTTTTCTTCAAGGATTGTGAAAAACCCATTCAAGCTTCTCTCCTCCAAATCCCAGGCAGATCTGTTAATTTGTCGGTCTCTTTTCTTTATCTGACTGTTGTTGAATAAAAAGTAAACAGGTTCATGGTCTTCATCTCTTCTGCAGGGTATTTCTGCTTTCTCTATGGCATTGAGAGCATCTGTTGGTGGTCCTCCGTCTGAATGAGTGAACAGAAACACTATGTTGTTCTGGATATCTCTACCAAACAGAGACAGAACTGAGTGAAAGATGTAAAGCTCTTTTCCAGAGAGTCGATTCTGAGATGCCTTCATCACAAAACACACTGTGTCTATATAATGAATCCCATCCTCATCTGCAAATAATCTGATCAGATATTCTGCAATCTCTGCATCTTTCTCGAATCCTCGAGCGTCTCCGTAACCTGGAGTGTCGATGATGGTCAGAGATGTTGGGTTTTCTTCAACAAACACCTCATAAACTGTGATCTCAGAGGTCTGGGATTGGGATTGATCTCTCTGTTCTTCTTCAGTGATTTGATAAAACGCTTGATCCTCAAACTTCACTCCCAGTAAATGGTTGACCATGGTGTTGATGAGTGTTGTTTTCCCAGCGTCAGTTTCTCCCACCATCAGTATGACTTTATTCTGCTTGGCCTTGTCTTTTTTCCCATATGTCCATCGTCTGATCTTTCTGTCATTGTTGTCAATGTATTTTCTTTCAGTATTCAATTGGTAAAGTGCTGGAGGACCTTTTTCTAAAAGGGTGGCATCATAGCATGATCTGCAAAAAGAAATATGATTTGGCATAAACATAAGCAATAAATAATTGTATTTAAACGGGTCAGAAAATAATTATGTGGTAAGAATCGCTTTGATACAGAGACAATAAATCACAAAAGAGGACGGTAAGTGATTCATTTTGGTTATTACCTCTGTTTAAACTCCAATGACCATGTAATCTAGTGCTATACTCTCATTTGTTCTTACACCAGTCTCGTTAGGCTGTAAATGCATTTTAAAATTGTTCATTGGAACTGCCAGTCTGCTGGGAACAAAGCTGACTTCATTACAGCACTCCTCCTTGCCTCCTTCGATCTCAATAGAGTGCCTTCTGAGCCACTCAAAAATCTGGTAACCAGCTTAACCCCATCTACACCCATTACAGCTCCACTGGCAGTTTGCTGGTAACCCCATTGCACATTTGCAGACCACTTCCTTCTCAATCTAAACCAGGGGTGTCCAAACTACGGCCCACGGGTCATCTGCGGCCCGCAATCAGTTTTGTGGCGGCCCGCGAGGCTTTTAATAAATATTAATAGAATCTGGCCCGCTAAACAAAAATGAACGTAATTCAATAAATAACCACCGGGTGTCGCTATTACATGCATTCAATTAGGCAGCAGTTCTTGTAATGATGCAAAACGAACCAAAAAAAAAAAACTGAAGGAAACATAATTGATAACATTTTGATTCAAATTTTGGCAAGCCATGGCGAAACCAAGAAAAAGGAAAATCAACAGTGAGTGCAGGAAATTTCAGTCACATTGGGGAAAAGAATATTTCTTTACAGAGGTCAGCGGGAAATGTATCTGTTTAATTTGCCAGCAATCAGTTGAAGTAATGAAGAAATTTAATATTAAAATACATTATGAAACAAAACATCAGGCCTTCAGCTCTTACACTGGTGCCGAACGAGATCAAAAAGTAAAACAATTAGCAGCTGCTCTATCAGCTCAACAACAGCAGTTTTTTCGTGCTAATTAAGTGCAAGAAAATTCTACACTGGCTAGTTATGAGGTGTTTGTATATATATATATATATATATATATATATATATATATATATATATATATATATATATATATATATATATATATATATATATATGCATGTCTGTGTGATGTATGTAAAGTTTGGCCCGGGACAACGGTTTTTTTTTTTTGTCATCTGGCCCTCGGCCTAAAAAGTTTTGACACCCCTAATCTAAACCTAAATATTCCTTTGAAGTAATCTCAATGATTCATCAAGAGCATCACAATTAAAATAAATTAAACTTGAACTATATTAGTCAGTTTCACTTCTTGAATAGAATTAGTGAAATAAGTCAACTTTTTAAACATATTCTAATTATATAACCAGAACCTGCATATGTAGTAGATTATTGTGACTGGTGTTTCTGCAACCTTTGACCTGTATTGCTCATACATTCATGCTCCGATGGAAAACGTATAGGGCACAACAAATGAGACCTGTTGACTGACCTCAGCTGGAACATTGACACACAGAGAACAACATCCACAGAGAGCCGGCAGCTAGCTCTCTGCAACTCTCACATGGTCGCCCACTGAAGCTAAGCAGGGCTGCGCCCGGTCAGTACCTGGAGGGGAGACCACATGGGAAAGCTGCCGGAAGTGGTGTTAGTGAGGCCAGCAGGGGGCGCCCAACCTGCGGTCTGTGTGGGTCCTAATGCGCCAGTATAGTGACGGGGACTCTATACTGCTCAGTGAGTGCCATCTTTCGGATGAGACGTTAAACCGAGGTCCTGACTCTGTGGTTGTTAAAAATCCCAGGATGTTCTTCGAAAAAGAGTAGGGGTTTAACCCTGGCATCCTGACCAAATCTGCCCCTGTCCATCATGGCCTCCTAACCCCCTCCCCCCACCCATATCATAACTGGCTTCATCACTGTCTCCTCTCCACCAATCCGCTGGTGTGTGGTGTGCGGTCTGGCGCAAAATGGCTGCCGTCACGTCATCCAGGTGGATGCTGCACACTGGTGGTGGATGAGGAGATTCCCCCCATTGTGTGTATAGCGCTTTGAGTGCCAAGAAAAGCGCTATATAAATGTAAGAAATTATTATTATTATTATTATTAACATGTCAAATCTTCACACATCAAATTCTCAATTGTCTGAAACTGCTTCATAAAAATGAAGATGCCATATTAAGTCTTCTTAATCACACTTTATCAAAACTATGATTTTTTTCATCTTGTTCTGTTGTTTTGGTTTCTTTTGATTGATTAACCAGTTACTCATTATTAGTTTCAACAAGTTATATTGTAAGATTCCAAAATATCAGACCCTGAGAACTGTTATGGAATTTCATGAGACAAGATGCAATGTTCCAATGCACTTTCTAATCTGAGAAGTGATGAAGAAACCAACTGTTCCACTGTTCTATTTAATGCAAACACAGGCTGGTGAAACAGAGCTACACTACAGCAGGGGGTGATGCGAGAAAGTCACTCTTCTCCTCTCACCTCAAGCCTTCCTTCATGACCCTTACGTTACCTTCTGATTAGAGCTAATCATTTACATCTTCACTTAAAATGTACAAGGTTTTAATATGGTGTATCTTGCATCACTATATTCATGTTTGGTATCATTTTAAACGTCTCAGTGTGATTGGTAAAGTGGTCTTAATTTCACTGTTTTATTTCACTGGTATATGTTGATTTGGTTTTGGCTTTGATAAGATCTTCATAAGATGCTCTCCCTCCTCAGAGATGGTTAAGTCCTCAAATTGACCAGGTCAGGGTTTCTGTGACACTTCTATTGTCTTGAATTTATGGCTGTTTGTTTTGACTTGAGTATATAAGGTAAAGATGTGGTATGGGTCAGGGGGGATCTTGTAAAAAAACACCCCATTGCAGCATCTCTGAGACTTATGCTGCAATGTACTTCTCTGGTCAGGTATGCATCTATAACTCTTTGATTTATCTTTGATTAATGGATGTTGTATTGTTTCAGTCTCATCTCTGAATAGGCTTCCTGATGATTTATTATGTAATTGGCAGAATACAATTTTACCTGACAAATAAAATGTTGTTTTGATTAATTCTGGAGTTTTGCGAATTCATTGTATCCAGTAGATTAGAGGAGTCTTCATACCGTTATAATACGGCATAAATTAGAATGATTAATAGGCGCATTTGATTATACGTAGCCATAGAGAGCCGATAACATGTAGACCTTTTAATCATTTAACCACTGAAAGTAGCAAGTTGCACAGGCTTGGCTAAAGGATCTATTTTTTTAGGACTAAATGAGTGTTATGCAACAAGCTTATCTAAATATATTTAATCCTGCATCCTCTGACTATTTTCAGAGTGTCAACATATTGTCCGTGAGAAGAAGCACAAACCCGGGGCGTGGAACTCTGAGCGACGTTGGTCTCTAATGAACGTACAATTTAGAACATCGGACCTCAGAAAATATCAAAACTCTAAATTAAATCATAAATGATGAATGTGATCCGTTCTTACAATTAGAAATACAATCTAAATTTTAGGATCATTGAAATTGGAGTCAGATTGAATTTGGAGCTAAAAAACGAATATAAATAAATTCTAATAAATAATAAAATTCTTTTCAGAAGCACTAGAAAAGGCTTACATGCATTAAACCTTCGACCATGCTGTTAGTTTCGTCATTGGGCTAATAGATGGACTCCTACAGTATTATTAATAATAGAACAAACTGGTATGAACATTTTAAAAACAGCAAAGCTTCTAAAATTATGCAAAGTAAAACTTGTGGCTGTTTGAACTTGAATACCCAATTCTAGATTGCATTTAGGAAATTTTTTTTTTTTATCAGTGTAAGTCAGGATTGTCGTAAATTATGATATGCAAAAAAAAAAAAGGAATAAAAATAAACAAAACACACTGAACCACTACAGCCTCTATTGTAGTATTGCTAGTTACAACAGTACAGTTAACTGTTAACCGGCTGATGAATGACAAAACTCTTTAAAACTTTAAAACTAAAGCTTTAAATCTCCATTCATTGCATTTAAATGACGTAAGCATAAAGCTTCATTTTTGCAGTACTTTTGAGCTCAAATTATAATAAAAAATATATTAACCTTCAGAATGATGCGGGACACAAAATTCATCCATGTGGGCCCATTGATTACCCCTCATTTAAAATTTCTTTGCGGCCCCCCCAGCGCCATCTGGTGGCCCCCCAGTTTAAAAACCCCTGAATTAAACTATTAAACAATATTATTTAATATATTTTTAAAGTTTGAAAAAGAAGAATATTTTTGGTCACAGTTTGACACAGATGAGTTGACACAAACCAGCGCTGATGCTGTTTGCCTCTGTGCTGCCTGGAGCTGCGTCATAAACTCAACAAACAGGCTATTGATGATTTAGTGCAGGCTACAACCAACAAACCGACCTTTCTCCATGTGATTTTTGCATAGTGATAATTTCGACCCAAACTGAGGCTTTCATTTTACAGCTTATAAAACATGTATGCAAATGAATGCAATATCAAGCATAAACAACAAAATTGTTATATGCTATGTAGTAGCCTATACTAGGGCTCTCTTGACACGGATGCACTGGCCCACAGCTGGCCTCAGGGCATGCGCAAATACGCATTTTCCCCAGTGAGCCTGCTCGCCCAGTTACTGTGCCAGGTCACGGAGGACGAGGAGCAAGTCTTGCTAGTTGCGCCCCTCTGGCCAAACCGAATATGGATGTCAGAGCTCTTCTTTCTTACGTCTGACCTAACCTGGCAAATCCTTTTGAGAGAGGACCTACTCTCCCTGGGACAGGGCACCATCTGGCACCCTCGCCCTGATCTTTGGAACCTCCAGGGACCTGAAGGCATTTTCGGTCAGTGACTCGTGCCTGGAATTCTGGCCGGTTTACTCACATGTTGTCCTGAGACCCCACCCGGGTATGTGCCCAAGGTTCCTACCACACCATTTACCAGGTAGTGAACCTGCAAGCGCTGCCTCTAGAGGAGGCAGGCCCAGCCCTTTCATTACATTGTCCAGTTTGAGCTTTGCAAATTTATCTGGACCACACTCAAAGCTTTAGATCATCTGAGCGGCTCTTCGTCTGGTGTGGAGATCGGCAGCAAGGAAGTGCAGTTTCGAAACAGAGGTTGGCCCACTGGATAGTGGATGCCATCTCCCCCGCTTACCAGAGCCAGGGCGAGCTGTGTCCCCCGGAAGTGTGTGCACACTCTACTCTGAGCATCGCATCCTCTTGGGCACGTGCACACGGTGCCTCTCTAACAGACATCTGTAGAGCTGCGGGCTGGGCGACACCTAATACATTTGCAAGGTTTTACAATTTGCAAGTGGAGCCGGTTTCCTCAAGGGTATTAGGTAACCCTTGGTGATTGAGCAAACAATTCAGTTAAAGTGTTGAAACACGCTTGCTGCACCATTCTCCCTAACACAGAAATCTGTAAAAATCACATTTTAGGTCTGTCCTCTGGTCAGCCCGCGCTTCGGGTATAGGTCCATATGCTATTTAAGCCACAGTGCATTCCTCCCCTCACAGGTGGACCCGTGTCTTCCCTCTCCGCTAACCATCTTATTAATGAGTACTCCCCCTTCTCAGGGTCAGTCCATATATTCTGCCATCATGTCTCCCCATTTGGGTAGCAGGTGGCCTCAGCAGTGTCCTCCCCTTCAGGACTGCACGCTTTCCAGTTGAACTGTCGAATTTAAATTCCTAGAAATTATCTAGACACTTACGGCTCCCGAAAAATATATCTAAATCCATAAATCTTTTTTGAAGTGGGATAATTAAGGGCCAGGAAACACGTTGGAAGACTGCGCCTCTCTATATTGCAGGTGCACTCATGCTATGCCTGGCTATCCTCTCATCGAAGGGGGAGGTAAGGTGCAGTCATTATGGCATTTTCCAGACATTTCTTCATATGTGGATTAATTCCACTATACCATTGGAGTTCCCCATCCGAACGGAACACTCTGGTTACTAAAGTACCCCTCGTTCCTCAAGGAGGAAAACGGAAATGCTATCGCCATAATGACTGTCCCTTAGCTGTAGGTATCAGTCTCTTCAACTTAAAAAGAATGCCTCAGCATGCTTTCGCTGTACTTTTATGCTAAATTGATTGCAACAAGCATCAGGTGCGCAAGCTGACGCTGCCAATTCATTTGGCATTTCATTGGCCCATTTACATACGCTTCCAGACAATTGGCTTTCTGAACGAAATTCCCATAAGAGGGTTAATTCCACTATAGCATTTCCGTTCCCCTCCTCTGGGAACGAGGAGTAGTAAAATATTAATTCTATTTTTAAAATTTGCAAATATTTTTTCTTCTTCCCTTCTCTCGTTCCAAACTAAACATTGGTTTGTGCTCGTTTGGGTGATTTTGATGTGATATTTGACTCTTTGCAATGAAGCTATAGTTCCCTCTTTCTCCATGTACAGCAAGGGTCCCAAGATGTTCAAAGTCTAGAAACTGAAATAAAATCTTCTTCAAAACATTGCTTCTCTCTTCAGTGGTTCAACTGTAATCATACAAAGCTCAAAAACACATTTGTGCATCAAAAATACTCTTAAAATAACTTGTTTGTCTCAGCCTCAACAAGTTAGGGTGTTTGCTTACTGCTCGTAGTAAACACACACCCTGATCTGATGCAGGAGAGATACGCAAACAAATTTGTATTTACAGTTGTACCACTGAATTCACATGGAATGTTTTGACAATATTTTTTTGTGCCTTACTTATCTGGACTATGACCATCTCGGGAACATTGCTGTCTGTAGAGGATGAGGAGCATTTAATCTAAAATATTCGAGTTTGTGTTCTGAAGATGAACAGGTCTCTACCCCTTAGCCCTTCCCCTTACCCCTTGTTTTGTCCATTCACGTCAAGGGGTAGTAGTGTGAATACCCCTTCAAACAAAGATTTTTCAGGACCACACTCAAAACCAAGGAGTAAGAAAATGTCCCTGAATAAATCTGCCACAATGTCAGGATATCTGCACCCGGAAGTCAGGAGATCCACAAATTAATATTTTTGTCATTATTACGAATTTTTACAAAACACAAGCACCTGTTTTAATATAGTCATAACAGCGTTTGTGTTTTACCGTCATGCCTTTAAAAAATTCTGAAATAAAAAACACTAAATTTTGCGATCTATAATCCACAATCATAACTCCTGTAGAGCAGTCCCACAACATTCTGACACTCGACAACACTTGATACCCTGTCAGTAATATTTAGTGATTGGGAATGAGCTTTTTACAGTGTCTGCTGTAATGGTAATGTTGATTTTGGTGTGTTTACATAGATGATGTGTTATATGCACAGTATTACGATCTTATTTAAACATTATTTGTTATGATAACATATTATATGCCTTCAGTGATTTCCTGAAGATAAATACCAAAATAACACAACTGGATTCACTACAGCAGTCATAATCATCTGATCTCATTTAAAGCATGAGATTGCGAGGACATCTGATGACGTGTGCAGGTGCTGTAGTGCTGTCCCAATTCTTAGGGGGAAATTTTGAAGCCCTTCCCCTTAACCCTCTGTTGAAAGAGCCAAGGGGAATGGATACAAAAATAGAATTAAGATGGGCCAAAGTAATATATATATATATATATATATATATATATATATCAGGGTTGGGGGGCAATGAACCAGCTATGCAATAAAACAGCTTTGGGGGGCCCAGCTTGCAAAAGGTTGAGAGCCCCTGGTCTATAGGATCACTCTGACTGATTTTGGTGTCACATTTAGGTTCAGCAACTGTCCAGATTTGCTGGATGTTCTTATAAACAACCTGAATATGGCACAAACATGCAGAGTATGAACTACAAATAACATATATTTTAATATGAATTGCAGCTAATAAACACCCTTAATGTGTCTATGCCTCTATTAAGATTTTCATGTTAATACTTACTTTCACTGTCTCATTCAGGGAAACTCCAGAGAGAAATACTTTAAATCAACTTTAATTATATATATATATATATATATATATATATATATATATATATATATATATATATATATATATATATATATAACAAATACACTGCAAATACTGATCTCTTGTTATTAGACTATGCCTTGATATACCCAAGTTTTTTTTTTAGTGCACCTTTAATTGATAAGAAAATGGTCTTACATTATTCCTGAAGGTCCTTCTTTTCCACTTTGCTGTATGAGAGAACTGACTGATGCCATTGTCGCTGTGATAAAAAAAAAAAAAAAAAAGTTAATTTAAATTCCACTTGAAAGTATTAAAGGGGTGGTCCAGAATGTAATGTTAAGGCTTGATTGTTTTAATATGATCCAAAGCGATGTGTGCTCATGTTTCACTTGAAGGAAATCATGTTATTTTTTCATAAATCTCACTTTGATTATACACAGCTACTCAGTTAACATGAAAATGACTGATATATCTCCTAGTTTTTTTTTTTTTTTTTTTGCTGCTACACACCAGTTCGGAGAGCATTGCTGTATTTTTTTAAATCAATGCGTTACACGACGTCTTTCATGCATATACGAAATATACAGGTGTAAGTAACATGAATCGTTCACATATCTTTTGTGACTTCATTGTCTGATGCTGCGTTCACACCAGACGTAAATTCCTGCGTAAATTGCTGCGTGAACATTTGAGGTTACTCGCTTCATTCGCACGTCAAATCCACGTCAGAACAGATGCGGATTCGCGTGGGCAGGGCTTCTGTCTGCCCGGTGACTATAGCTTTATAGCTAAATGGCTAACATGGATTTTATGAAGAAAATAACAGTGTTTATGTGCTTTATGAAGACTGAACATTAGCGTTGATACAATTAGGGTCGTGTCCACTACATCCTTTTTAGAGGTGTATCTAGCTCTGTCAGCTCAAAACTCCTCCAGAAATTGAACCTGGATGACGGAGGCTTTCAGCGGTGCTTCTGACTGAGCCCAGCCCAGTTTGATGACTTCTTGTCGGTGTCGGCTGGAAGATTGCCCCTGGAACACCCAGAACAGGCGATACGTCACAACCATGCCCCCACAAGAGCAAGCTCCTGATTGGTTAACGCAGCGCGAATGCCCACTAAAATTCAGATTTTCAAACTCGAGCAATTTGAGCGATTTGCACGAAATGCGCGTTAAATGTGCAAAACGCTGAATTTGCGTCGCGCCATTTGCGCAATTCTCATCATTCGCACGTATCGCACCGCAGGATGTCTATTCGCGCGTTTGCATTGACTTAACATGTAAATCACTTCCGCTTGACGCGCATTCCACGTCTGGTGTGAACGCAGCATGAGATGTAAAACGCATAGAAAAGCTGCCTGTTAGAGATGCTCGGATGGGCTATTATTTCATTCGCAACCGCATGACAAAATTCATCATCCGTCCGCCATCCATCCGCACTAACATTTTTTACCAATTTTTAAAACCGCACCCGCCCGCCATCTGCTGATTGGGCTCTTTATTTGAATGGCTTATTCCTTTTTATTATTAATTGAATGTTTCTTTATTGATCATTATATAATAATGACTTTAATGTAGACATGCAGTTAATCCAAACGTGCAAGTCATTAATTGAAGACGCTTTGAAGTGACGCTAAAGATACGAGGACGTGTCTTTTCACTTGATTCGATTCCTCGGTCCTTGAGTCTTTTCCTTGCGTCCTTCCCTCGTACCGTTATCCTGGTGGGGTGGAAACACGGGAAAGAAAGCAAGGAAAGGAAACGAGGATGCACAAATAAGAAATGAAAAGCACCCGAGCTCTCAGAATATCAGCAGTGAACTCCGTCTCCAATCAGCGCACAGGGACAAAAGTAAATAAATAGCCTAAATTAAACGCACAGTACTGTACAACTTTTTTTATTGTAGTCTAATAGAAAACGCATTGGCACATCATTTCAACATGCTGCTATTTAGCCTACTACTAAATGCCTATTTCACTTTATTTTTTTAGTAAATAGATAGAATAATAAGTCATTTAGCCTACATTATAGCCTAATAATGTTTACATTTGTAGTTGTCCATAGCAACCCCAAAAACGTACCTGCTTGCCTTCCACATCTAATTAATGGGCACAGTTTTTCGACTATTTTTTTATTTTTTATTTTTTGCTGTGGACGTTATTGAGCTTGTAGAAATCGGAAACAACACCAGTTCTGCAACACAGATGAACCCTTATTGATATCTCTATCAGATAATACCTATTTTATATGCCAAAAGAAACAACAGGCAGTAAAAAAATATTAACATAAATATCTTAATGTAGGCATAGGCTATAGTCGCATACTTTGGCAAACAGTTGAAAAATTTTTAATAAAAACGTCATATCGTGCCTAAACCTTGTAGGCTCAGTCACCCCAGCAATTAGAAATTAAATTAGAAAAACAGATATGCCATCCCTCTTTAAGCGAACATAAAGTCTGACCAGGCTAAAGTGCATGTATGACAAGTGCCCCAATAACCCATGGAGGATAATCCCCATTCCCCTCAAACTTGAAGCATAACGAAATACTACGCCATTACAGTTGCGACAAAGAAATTCTGGCAAAATAACCTTATCCTCGGAATGTAAAAGCGAGGCCAACATGTCTAGAATAGAATAGGCTAAACCAATATGAACGTAAAATTATCAGCTGACCGAACTCAAAAGTTTATATTGAACATATGTGTAGCCTAAATAACATAGGCTAATTGGTTTAATATGCCTGACTTTAGGTCTAGTTTAATTTTTCCTTGGCACAATGCAGGAATAAAATAGCATCTACAGTGTCAGGATTCAGATGGGCGCGCCTGCAAAGCACTTGTTGCTGAAATGCATAGAATTCTCTTGGAAAGGTGCTGTAGTCGTGGGAATGCCTGGCCTTATTTCTCCCAAAAGGAAAGTAGATTTTCCTCTGCTGATCCGTCTATACGGAAGTTTGTAGAGGAATACTTCTGTACTTCATCCAGAATTAGTGTATCCGATTCCTCCTCCCATTCTGTGAAGTCAGTCCTAGGCTTTTTTGTTGGTGCGCCAGCTATGCCTATAAAAACAGTACAACCGCCCGCCACCCGCCCGAATTTAATTAAAATATTATTTTTTCGTAACGTCATCCGCCCGATCAGCGGTTTATCCGCGGCTATAACCACCAACTGCGCATCTCTACTGCCTGTGTAGAGAAACACTGTCGTCTCACACAGAGAGTCGCACGTGCTGGTCAAGAGTGCGCGTATGTGTATGTGTGTATGTGTGTGTTTACAGCAGTTTGACAGATAAATATGGATTTGCTAAAACGTTAGCAATGGCGAACATTATTTCCCTTTGTTTACATCTTTGTTACAACATACCGTTAAGGTTAGACACTGTACAAGTCATGATCAATTAAACAAATAAAAACACTTACAGGTTGTGGCTCAAAGCTCAGAGTGTTTTCTTGTATTGTTAGTTGCTCCATCTTTGAGGAGATTTTAGCTGAATCAAGTACTGAACTGGGAGAGATTATGGAAGCTGCGTTTTGTCAAATCATGCTTGCTATGTATTTTATAATTCTCTGGAACATAATTAATATTGAACAGTAATCACTTCTGTGTTTGGGTCATGTCATTTGGAAGCCCAAATACAGAAACAGAGAAGCTCTGTGGAAACAGCAGGATGGCATTTCTCCCTCTAATGTAACGTTACAGCGCCTTTGGCCATGGCCCTTAGCTGCGCAGTGTGTGTGCGCAGTAAACAAACCTTTGTAATCTTTGTGAGCAGAAGTATTTTTGTAGTCCCCAAAATTCGTTCATTGTAGGCTTTGCTAACTCTATAAAAGCCCAGGTACAGCTACATTACACATCATCTAAAGTTTAAAATATGATATCATAGTGGACCACCCCTTTAAACAGTTCCAAAGCTAAAGTCCCAGTGTTTGCTTTATGTTCACGAAAATACTTAATCCCCTGTTTGGTGTGAACCCAGCATAAAATCCTAAAAACTGGCCAGTTGGTTCGACATAAATCATAAATTTGATCTCTCCTCAGAACAGGTTTAAACATGAATAGGTAAAGGATACGTGGGCAAGATATACACACTGGTAAAAGTGTTTTATTGGTATGAATGTGTACAGTCATTGTGCTTCAAATCTTAAAATAACACTTTTAAGAAAGTGTACTTTAAAATTATAATTTGCTCACTGTTTTTAAGGAAATGTTATTTTTAATTAGGTTGTACTAAAAGTTACTTAATGTTTTTGAAATGTAAAAAGTACACCTGTGTTCAAATGCTGACTAACATATGTAAAATATATCATTTGAACTATAAATAAATAAAAAAAAAAAACTGATGTCTACAATTATGTTTGTAAAAGTCATTGATGTATAATACACAATATAATGCACTTCATTTATTTATTTTTAAATTTACTGCAGTAAAGCCTGACTGAATATTTGATAAATTTGGTACAAAAAATAGAAATACATAATGCAAAACAGTTGAATGTGCTATATTTGATTTAATGTTGATTTTATTTTTCATTGTCAATTTTAATGTAAGCATTGTGGTTCTTATTCGTTTGCATTACATATGATACATCTGAGTAGTGTATTATATTAAACATACATTTTAAAACATTAGATTGAAAAACACAAGATTATTCTATTTGAACCTTTTTTATCTCTATAATATAGTATATTATGCATTAATTACTGTTTATGTAGTGTAAAGATGAAAAAAATCATTTGGATTTACATTAAGTAAAAATTAAGCAAGCGTAAATCATGCCATTCTCTCGAGTGACCAATCACGCTTCACTGTCTGGAGCAAGCAGGGCTGGGAAGGTTATTTTTAAATGTATTTCACTACACAAACACATACTTCAAAAAGTAATCAGTATTGTATTTTTTTACATTCCGCAAGTTGAGTAACTTAATCTAAATAATTTGGAATCTAGTGCATCATACTCAAAAAGTCGTGAGGCTGTGTTTGCTGTCAAAGGTGCATCAAAAAAGTATTAAGCAAAGCAGGTGAATGCTGATGAACGTGATTTTACAGCTTTTAATTTTGAATAAATTTACACTAATTTCAGAAACTAATTTTTCACATGGTCATTATGGGGGATTGTGTGTAGAATGTTGAGGAAATAAATGAATGTATTACTATTATTACTATTATATTCTATTACTCGTGCATTGTATGGATTCATTTTACACTGATATATTTCAAGTGTTTATTTCTTTGAATGTGAATGATTGTGACATATTGCTAATGAAAACCTTAAATCCACTATCTCAGAAAATTAGAACAATGCACACAAGCTGAAGGCCACTATCAGAGCAATCTGGGCTTCATAGTGCCACAAACTGATCACCTTCTGCCACAACACAATGATGTAATTCTGAGCCCAATTATTGAGTGCTGTACTAGTTTTGATGTTCATACTTTCAGTAGTCCAGCATTTTTGTTGTAAAGATGGGATTTAACTCCAGCGGTTCGAACTGTAGTCTGCCGAGTGACTAAAAAGTGATCAGCATGATGGTAAAAAACTGAACATTTCTAGTCAAATCATTCTTCTGCAATCTCATACCAAAAACGGAAATAAGGGCAGTATTAATAGCTATAAATGTGGGAGAGCGTTGCATTGTATTGTATTGCAATATGGAGAATTAAAATGTTGATAATAAATCAAAAGTAATTCACAAATACTTGATAATGAAATGATTAAATGACAATAATTCTCTATGGTTACAACTGAATTAATTACAAAATAACTGTATAAAATGATCGAATATGAAATTATAAAAACATGTACACCTGTCAACCCTCCCGTTTTTCCCGGGATTCTCTCGTATTTTACAGTTCTATCCCGTTTCTATCCCGTAAAGGTATTTTCAAGTATTTCTAGTCTTTGTCTGAACAGCCGAGCCTCCTTATACGCAACAAATACCCATAATGCATAACCCTTGCTGGCCCTTGATTATGTCTCTGGGGCCCCCTAAATGTGTTCTTGTTAAAAAAAGACATGTTTTGCCCTATAAACTAATGCATATGATAATTTACATTCCTACACTGTTAAAATCCTTTTTGTATTGGTCCTAAGCAATTTTGTAATTTTCTGAAAAATTTTTGAATTTTGGGTTTTCAATAGCAGTAAGCCATAATCATAAAAAAAATGAAAAGACATTGAGATATGTTGGTCTGTGTATAGTAATTTTACAGGGGTTGGACAATGAAACTGAAACCAATTTAGTGCTGGAGGTTTGATGGCTAAATCTGACCAGCTGGGTCAGTCAGTCAGTCGACAGCGGCCTCTAGTGGATTTATGTGAGAACAGCAGATGGGAATGGCACTCGCAAAAGAAATTTGAGAGCTGAAAAAGTGTACACAGCGGCCTCTGGTGCATTCCAGAAAACAAAAACTAAACTTCCAGGGTAAATACGTGAAAAAAAAGAAGTTGATAAATAATTTGAAAGTAAAATTTTTAACATTTGATGTCTGGTTATGTTTTCTCATTAAGTGAACCATATGATAAAAATCAACTAAACGTTATTAGTTCCATTAAACTAATTACAGTTTTAAGAAATGGAGATTTATTTTAAAATGTTAACAAACAATAATTCTCTAAAGATTCAGAACGTTTACAAGCAATAAATGTACAAATGGAATCAAACATATAATTTGTCAAAATGATCAAATATGTCTCATGTAAAAAGAAGAGATGAGCAAAAGAAGAAATAAGTTTAGTTAATAGACAAATGGTGTGCATAGTAATGGGGTGGGAAAATAACAAGCTTGTGCTTCATCCCACTCCATTTTCGACCATGTTGAAATGTATTTTTTGTTAATGATATTTTATGTACGATAATTCTGTTAAAAAAATAAATTAATTAAAGCAAATATCTCACGTGTATCAAATGGCAGATTAACATGTGAAAGTGTTTGAAAATAAAGAGCTGATGGATTCTTCAAGCATTTGCTGCTGTGAGGATCAGCAATCTGGTTCATTTTATTATTCTATAAGTATAAATAAACAATTACTTATAGCATTAAGATGGTGGTGGTGGTGATATAAAAACCTTCTAAAAGAAAACAAAAAACTGTGTATTGATAGACTCCAGACAATGGATAAACTGTTGAGCTGTGTGTCTAATGTAAGTTAATCCTCTGTGAAGGGTGACAGAAAGTGACGTAGTTTGAGTTCAGCATAAGAGAAACACCATTTTGAGACATTTTATAATACGCTGAAAAAGCAGAAAGGCTCTTACTAATACCACCTTTAAATCACAACAGGTTTGACAGTCTGGACACACAAAGAACTATTCAGAACTTGTTTATTCGTTCCACATAAAGTTTCATTTAAAATAATCAGACCTTTTAAAGTATTGTCACTTCGCTCTATTTAGGTACAGTTTCGTTTTGCGTTTAAATTTACTGACATAAATAGTAAATCACCCGTACATCTGCAGTTGCAAAATACCAGTGCAGACTAAAACTAAAAGAACTCATGCAGTGGAGACAAACCTTAGTCCTGACGACCTGAAGATCTGTGTTTTTTGTCCTGAAAATGAGCGTCTTCAGTCTACAATTGTAAATTCACAGGATGTCTCCTCCTTTACTTTCTTTTTTCTATGCTGCACGACAACATTCTAAACTAACATGGCAAGCCGTTTTTACATTTAGTCTATTTTCATGTTACTTGTGCTTATTGTTTAGATACTAGTGTGCTTTTAAAAATCACTAGTATCTAAAGAATATGCACTAGTATCTAATAAATATGCACTAGTGCTTAATAGAAAAAATACTAGTATCTAAAAATTAAGCACAAGTAACCAGGGCTGGACAAAAAATAAATAAAAATCAGCCCTGGCATTTTGGGCCAGAGCGGCCCACTACGTCAATCAAAGGGCTCCCCATCTGTGCACGCCCTTGAATATGTTTACCAGCTCCCATTCTATAAACACACAAAGTAAAGTTTATTCATAACTTCATAAGATTATAGCAAATCAGTCGGATGTGAAAACGGCAAAGAAACTAAATTTCCACTTGACTGCCATAAATAGAAGTTCTAAACTCTTCGCTATCACTTCACCTGCTCAGTCTTCAAGAGGTACCAGTTTTCCAGGACTAACAGACAAGCCACACCCCATATCCTCAGCTTTCCATCCATCTGCCATGCTGTGGGGGACAAACACCCCTACCATCCTTGCACATCGTGTCAACGAAGCTAGCGGACCATGCATTAACAAAGGCGCTTCCATTTATAGTCGCCCATGCCCTTATTGAGATGCCTCGCATGGATATCAGCTAAAACTATTTTCATGTCTGCCATACATGTATTATGTTGTAAAGATTTGATTTCTAATTCTGTTTGTTTTTTAATTTCAGAGATCACGACTGCCGGCTCCAGAAGCTGACCCCTATCCAACCTATTACACTCCACATCCATTCCAAATACATTCACACTCTTTATAAAGGATACATTCCACTCACATGGCCCAAACCTGTCATGTTCACACTAGCCTTTTGGTTTTTAAGATGTTCTGAACTAACTTTAAATTTCAATCTCTCAATCCACCCCACCATATCTGATCTAATTTCTTTATTGAGCCCCTTCAGTTGGTTTCGGGGGATATTACCAAGGGTGCGGGTTCACTTCACTATGGCCCCCCCAAATGCTCGAAATCCTCAGAACCAACAATCATCCCCGTTTTGAACTATATCCCATCGTCGCCGCGACTATCTTGTGGGACGACAAATGGGCTGCATTTAGCACCCTCGTACACTGCGACACTGAAGCGGCTGTCCAATGCTTCATTAAGAGGCGTTCTCATGCCATTAAGGCGCGAAGCTTGGACTACAGCCAATAAACAGTTTTGTATAATTGCTGAACATGTATCAGGTTACAAAAAAAATCAATTGCTGACTCTGTCTCATTTCTCTTTCCAGAAATTTCAGCGATTGGCTCCAGAGGTGGATCCCCATCCAACACCAATCCCACACTATCCAGAAATAATATATAGCCCAAAGCCACCTGCTTTATCACACTACTCTAAGGATACCTTTCCACACACACAGCCCGCACCCTCGATGCTATGTACACTTTGGCTTTTGGCCTCCTAAGATGTTCTGAATTAACCATAACATCTAACTTAAACCCCTCAATCCACCCCACCGTATCTGATCCGATTTTGACGAATAAAGAAACTCTTTCATTCTTTGTCAAGCAAAGCAAAACAGACCAGATCCGGAGGGGGCACTACATTTACATTTTGACCCCCCTTCACCCCCCCCCCCTCCCCACCCCCACCCACTCTCGCAATTTCTAACCCCTTTTTAACCTTTACATTTTAGGGGAACCCAAGAGCCCAACTCTCTTGCCCCCCTCTTTACTGACGACGCTCACTTTCCAGTAACACATTTTTGGTTTCAAAACACCTAAAAGAAGTACTCCGCCTCAGGATTCCATCCAGAACCATTCTCCAGCCACTCATTCAGAATTGGGGCAGCCACCACAGCAGCCCACCATGGGTTCTCCCAACGGCAGATCCAGACCCTTGGACGATGGTCATCAGACGCCTTCAAATCATACATCTGCCTCAGCCACTACCATCTAAAGGAAGCCCAGCTGATCCTTTTCAGCCGACACCCAACCACCGGAGCTCAAGGGCACGAGCACGACTCTGGCATTTCCTCCTATATTTTTATCTACATTTCTTACTATCTTTTCTCAAGCGCAAGCTATACTCCACTTCCCCCTCATTCCCTGCCCTCCACCGCTCCAACTCTCTGGAGTTACTCTTAACCTCTACCCCTCGCAGGGGTCCTGCCAAGCCCATCCCCAGCCCAACCCTTAGCAGCCACCCGCTAGCAAGAGCCCTCACAGCCCCCTCCTTCCTCCCATCTCTTGCTTCTTGCTAGACCCTGCTCTTGCTAGACCCTGCCCCCCCACAGCTCTGATCCCCGCAGGGATCGCCCCGAGCTTTGACCCCCGCAGGGGTCTCACTGCCAACTACCCCCCCCCCCCCCCCCCCCCCGCCCCCAGCCACTAGTTTTCCCCCCTCCCCTTTACCTTTTCCGGCTTTTCCCATCTTTCTATCTCCCTTCTGGCATTTAATAGCCACTTCTTTTCTACTTTCAGCGTTGAGTAATTCCGCTCTCCATCCCCCCTTTTTCTGATCCCCTTTTCCGTTTCCCATCTCCCCCCCACCCCGCTTATCTTTTCAGTGTCAGTTCCTCCGCTTCATTTCTCTTAAGTGACCATTTCAGTCGCAATACTATCTTTCTTCTAGCGTTGAGTTCCTCCGCCACTCTCTCTCTTTTCCTTAGGCCATCATTCCCCAGCTCTAACTCCCGCAGGAGTGACTAAAACGTGCTCCCGCAGGAATCACGCCACGGCCACCTCTCTCTAGAGTTTTCACCAGCCCCCTCCATTCTCCCATACTCCAGCAAGAGTATCGCCCCCACAGCTCTAACTCCCGCAGGAGTTACCCTGAGCTTCGACTCCCGCAGGAGTCAATAACTTCCCCTCCCCGGCCACTAGAGGAGAAAAAAAAACTCTCTCCTAACTTTTCTTCTTTCTGACGTTGAGTTCCTCCGTCCCTCTTTCTATCTCCCTTCCGGAATTTATGCGTCCCTTCTTTTCTTTATTAAAGCGCAGAGTGCTTCTGCTACCCCCCCCCCCCAAACCTTTACTCCCTCTTCTCCCCCTTTCCCCCTCCTTTCACAGCGTTGAGTCCCTCCGCTAATTTTCTTCATTCAGCATAAGTTTAATGCTATCTTTCTTTCTTCTAGTGTCGAGTCATCCACTATCCTTTTCTTCCTTCCGCATAGGCACTCACTCGCTTTGTTCAGACTCCCATGGAGTCCCCCTAGCTTCAACTCCACAGGAGTCCCCCCCCCCCTCTAACTCACACCCTTTTTCCGCCAGAGCCAACACTGCCCCAAAACCCTTCCTGACTCCCAGGGAATCCCCACCCACCCCGGCTCTGGCTCCTGCAGGAGCCCCCCAGAGTCTCGACTCCCGCAGGAGTCACTCCCAGCCCCTCCCACGCCACTGCCTAGACTCCCCCGGGGTCGCTTTCAAACTCTGCTCTAGCAGAGCCTCTCTCCTCTATCTCCTTCCACAAAGTTATATCCAGCAGCCGGATATAGTATTGTCTTATGCCCCTTGGGGGGTTTTCTTCGATACACGGCTGCTGTCCCTTGCGTAAAAGGCTTCTTTGGGGAGTCATCGAGATCTACCTGAGCTCAAACTCCTCTCGCCTTGCAACGGGAGGGAGACCAGGGCTCGAGGATCTTATAAGCTCAGGGCTCTCTCCCAGGACAGCACGCCAAACAAGCTTTACTATCAATCATCAGCTATGTGTGAACGCTTGAAGTGAAGTTTATTCATAAACAAATTTCGAGAGGATCACGTGCTTATGATTGTTCACAGCTGTTCCAACTTTAGCTAATGAATGATTATCCTATCAGACGATCCTTAACTCATTATAAACAACCAGACTTTTCTCATCTTAATATCTTTGTCTTGAAGAAACCCCCCCACCCAACCCTACTTTCCCTCCTTTCAAACGGGCGTCACGGTAGCCAGCGATTAGCGCTGTTGCCTCACAGCAAGAATGCCCCTGGTTTAATTCCCTTCCAAACCAGACGGCATTTCTGTGCGGAGTTTGCTCGTTATCCCCGTGGTCGCGTGGGTTTTCACCCGGGTCCTCCAGATTCCTCCCACAGTTCAAAAACAAGCACTCTAAACAATTAATCCAAATAATTTAGCTAAACTCTGAGTAAACCTTTCAGCATCCATATCTAACACTTAGCTACAACAAGCTAAAAGGGGAGTCATCGAGATCTACCTGAGCTCAAACTCCCCTCTCGCCTTGCAACGGGAGGGAGCACAGGGCTCGAGGATCTTTTAAGCTCAGGGCTCTCTCCCGGGACAGCATGCCAAACTAGCTTTATTATCAATCATCAGCTAAGTGTGAACTCTTGAAGGACAATTTAGCCTGCCCAATGCACCTATACCACGTGTGTTTAGACTGTGGGGGAAACTGGAGCACTTGGAAGAAAACCCACACCAACATGAAAAGAACATGCAAACTCCACACAGAAACGGCAACTGACCCAGCCGAGGCTCAAACCAGCGACCTTCTTGCTGTGAGGCAAGGACATATGCTTCTTCATTTAGACTGATAACACTCGCACCACCTGAGGATTGTCAGACTGATTACACACACTATATAAGCAGCACACTTACTCATTCCCATGGCAGAATCTTGTTATCTGACATTACAAAGCGGTTTCTTAGCCCTGGTTTCCCGTGTATTTACCTCACCTTATATATTTAGTTATCCTTGTCTGCCGTCCGTTCCGACCTCTCGCCTGTTACTTCGACTACGATTCTGGATTGCCTTTTACATCTTTTTGCACTCGTGTTGACCATTGCTTGCTTGACCACTGAATAAACCTGCACGTGGATCCTACTTCAGTTGTCTGTGTCACTCCCTGTGTTACATGACCAGCTGTAAATCTGCCAGACAGAAACTTTTTCATTAAATGACAAACTAAAGGAAATAAAATGCTACTATGATGTTTTTATTATATT